TCACGCCAAGGATGGTGCATTCAGTACCACAGCCTTACTTGGATTAGTAACTGTAATAATATTACAGTAATCCCTTACACTACTAGCTACTGGGGAAATTAGTAAATGTAAAATGAGTAAAGTAATATTAGTAGGCCTACAGTTCCTGCCGAACTCAGCTAACAGTAGACCTAGCTATGAAATTAGTTTTAATTTAATGTTAGAATATTATACTAATAGAAATATTTATACTCCACAGATTTTGTGCAACTATAATAAAGATTTTTATTAACATATTAAACTCAATCAGCAACAGAAAACTACTTCCTTAAAAGAGAAAACTTGAAACAAGATTTAACTGAAAACACAAGACTGAACACTTATTAGGGAAACCTTTTTAACACCCTCCCTCCTCTGATGGAGTAAACACTAGCCTACAGCTCCACACTGCTATCTGACCCTAACTGGTCCACTGACCCCATAGGTTTCATTTACACTGGGGATGCTGGGGACATGTCCCCACCACATTTTGAAATGGCTGATTTTGTCCCCATCACTTTTTGAAAGCATTTTTTTTTTGCTTTGAAAAAGGTTGCTGACACTTTGCTGTGCCACAAACCAGATTTTGGATGACTATGTGGCCAAGGAACAATCACTGAATAGATTTTCTTATTAGGGATTTTCTCAGATAAATTCATATTGAATGGTGAAATTCCTAAGAGGATTTTATATTCAACACACATTTAACAATAAAGAATTTTCAAGATAATACATTATGATATAGGCCAACACATTAATAAATGAAAGATACAAAAAAAAAGTTTATCTTTATATGAGTGCCATCAAATGCGCCTAGTGCTCCTGTATTGCCGGCTATTTGAATGAACTGTGTTTGCTTCTGTGGGATTACGGGGTGGTGTTTGGAAGTCATGAAACGCGTGACAATGTGTGGAGCTGTAGCATAAGTGCTATAATTGTTTCCATGACTAATCGGCTTATTGATGGTTGTGACGGCCACAATCATCAGCATTGCTGCGTTTGTCCTGTGGCAAATAAACGACGCGCCATCACCACCTTCATTTTAACTGAAAACACATTACTGAGTAAAGTCAGTGGTGAGATGACGTCCCTGACCAACTCGCTGACAAAGATTATGCCTGAGCTGTCCAACCCCGTTTTATAAACTGCGCCTCGTCCAATAATTCAGAAACATTCTTCCTCTCCTGAAAGACCTGTGCATGTCTCTGTCTCCACAGTGCCATCACAAGCCCTACTGGCAGCTCCTAACCGCTTGAGAGACCTCTCGAGCTGTCTTAAATAACTGGGAGAGTTAGCTTTGAGAAATTTGACAACTTGCTTTTATTTTTAATTTTAAAAGTAGGAGTAATAATAATTATCAGCACTTAAGACTAAAATGGCACTTTGAGAAGCTTGATAAATACCGGCCCTGATCCTAGAAAGGCCCCTGCCAAAAGGACTCTGTCACTTCATTACTCAGTGACCTCCACTGACTACCCATGGCCTCCGGAATTAAATTCAAGTCACTAAAATACAGAGGGTAGGGGTTAATAAACTGAGAAAAAAATCATAGATGAAAGTGGCAAAAATCATAGAAGTGGGAACAAAACTCAGAAATTCCTTGAAATTAAAGTCACAAAATATCTTCTGAATACGCCCAATTCACGGCAAAGTCTCGAAGATGCATGATAACAGGAGTGTGGGCTAAATTTATGAGTAAATTTCCTCAATGCTAAATCGGATTGTGAAGTCTAATAGGCTATAACCTTCCACGGCATGCTAAGTACACAGCAGAGGTGTGTGTGTTGCAGCCTTACAAAGTGAAGTTTCTCTCATAAAAGTATGACTATAATATCAGAGAATATTCAAGTTTTTTACTAGATTCATCTTGTATTTTTTTTATTTTAACCCCTCTCCATTTTTTTTTATTACAATAGACCTTATGTGCAGTTGTAGCCTATCTTTACATCTTATTCATACTACACAACATGTTATTCACCGTCGTAGTACCGTTTAACACCAGCAAGGTGGTCAGAGTTTGTGAACCCTGAGTTTGCTTGATGACCCTGAGTTAACTCTGAGTAGGTTCTCTTCGTAGTACAGGCCAGTGGTCCATGATATAAAATATCCACCGTCTCCGCTTCTTTAACGTGATACAAGAACGCCTCTCTTTCTGTGTAAATTGTGAAGATGTAAATTGTGAGCATTATGTCTTCTTCACACAGTGAATAGCTTCCACACCATGTTTTAGCACGTGTGGTTGTGACTATAGCCGGTTAGGCTACTGACTGTGCCACTGTGCACTGACGTGAAACACCGTGAAAGTTTGACGCTGCACAGCCCCGGTCACCGGTCATGGTCAATTGAGCTGAAAACCGGTGTTATAACGATATATGCTGCCTTGTTGAAAAATGCTACCAATATCCCCCTATCAAATAATGCTCCCACTACAGAATAATTTTATATTGCACCCCGCTGCAATGCGCCTCTGGTTTACACAGACATATTTTTAAGTATTTTATTCATTAGCAAGATTGCCCTTACTTATTACTTCAAAAACACCAAAGTACTAAGATGACATAGCGGAAACCAGGCAAGATTTTATTTTGAAGCGCGTGGAGGGCACCAGGCAGTAGGGCATGAGATGGGAGGCTCCAGGCTGCAGCTATACAGTCTTGCCAACGTCACCAACACTAGAGACCCACAAGGTTGTGTCCAGAGTCCATTCCTGTTCACACTATACACCAATGACTGCATTAGAACTCACATGTTACAATATATATCAAGTAGGCTACTCTGATGACGCCATCCTTGGACTTCTCTGTAACAATAACTATTAAGCTATCAAGACAGTTATTTTAATACATAGGCCTAAGTGTTTTTGTTGTATAAATGAATCAGATTATGCTGTAGACCTTCAAGAAACTTTAGGATGACACCTGCCTACTCAGTGTATATAAGGCACCACTATTCTGTACAAGACCAGGTCAGGCAAGCCTGAGTCAGTCAGAGTGACAGAATACTTAAATAAATGAAAAAATCCAATCTCTCATTTTCGGCTCTGAGTAGGCCTATCCCTGGCTCAGCTTCCCCTATGCTGGACCTTCTGCTTGTATTGATAGTACAGCTATACACATGAGAAGAACATCAGCAATAAATATGATTTACATCAATCCATTTTCTAATTCTATGCATAATGTGATTGCCTACCCAGCCCTGCACAAACCCCTGTACCTGTCACTGTTTTCTCTGGTTACATTGACGTTTTCCTCCTGCTGCTCCTTCTGCTTCTCCTGCTGCTTCTGTTATTTCTCCTTCTCCCGCTGCTCCTCCTGTTCATCTTCCTCTTCCTTCTCTCCCTCCTCAGGATGATACATGGCAGGGTCATCATCACGCTGTCTCTCTGCATCCCCACTGACCCTAACAGCTTATGTACAGATACACAGTTTCCTTGCCTATAGAAGGATGTTGTCTTTGTGTGCAAACTGTTGTTTATAAAGAGCATAATAGAGTATAATTTCTCATAGTTGCAACAGTAAAATGTATATATTTCTACCAGTGATAGTAGATGACACTATGAAGGAGATGATATGACAATGGTGATGTCACCTATTAAGGAATTGTTTTGGTGAAAGGTCAAAGTTCAGTCAAAATGTTAACTGTTTAGTTTTCACTGTTGATTTGGGATTTGAGGGAGTGTGATTTCTCATAGTTCTGGATAGACTAGTGAAGATGATGATCTATAGCCTGCAAAGTGTAAAGTATAAAGTATGTTGGTGTTCCAGCTTGCTCACATAGAAAAATGACTTCACCTTTGCTGTGAGCCAATGTGCCACCTGATTGAAATCAGTTGTCTGAGCACTTGCACTGTGTGGTCTACTTATGTCGCACCACATGCATCAAAACTGTCTGGCTCTCATTCCTCTGTGTGCGTGAGATTCAGTTGATCTCTACAACTAAAGGGGACTCATTCTTCTGTGTTTCTCTTCTCTCATTCTTCTGTTGCCAGCCAGTTCATGAGAGGGACGTTTAAAGTTGTCAACAGACTGTGAGGAAGCAAACAACCTGCGGTGCAGCTGGCCTTTGGCCTTGGACTGTTTCCTGCTAATCAGAAATTAGAGTGTTGCCAGAAGTCCAGATTTTCCCTTTGACTTTAGTACATTTATATTAAATAATAAACCAAGCCTTTAAACCTTTTCTGTGATGTGCTATGTTGCCTGTTGCTGAGAATGGTTAGTCAAATCAAGAATCTGTAAGCCCACTGCAAAGTACTGCAATGGCTGTGTTACACTATGTCTGCCATAGTCCAATTTTGTGGATGAAAAGATTGGATCTTTTACTTATGTAGCATTACCATAGTTTAGATACGACCTACTGAATACAAGTAAAACTCTGAAGAATCTATAGCTCTTGTTTTCCTGTTTTTTTTTATGTTGTCCAATGTTTTGAGAATATGAAAGTTTACAGCTCACACAAAAATATACTTTAGTTCTGTACAATCTACATTTTTCTTTTGGTATAATTTAGGATTTATTTCTTGTATAATGCTGTAAGCTTACAGTTTGCAATTTCTGTACCTTGGTGGAAAAAGACTGATATGCAATGACTCTTTTAGTCAGATTTTTGCTCATTCAAGTTTTAAATAATTACCTCCATTAAATGGCATCTTTAGGACAATATGGACTAACTAGTTTTACTGTTCATGACACCTTATTTGTAAATAATATGAAGTCACCATTCTGTAAACACTGTTGCCTTGCAAAAATGTACCGTAATTTGAACTACAAATCAAAAAGTTTACATTCTCTTCATGCTACACACAGAGAACTTAACAGATGTGAAATGTGGTAACATATAAAATAAATAAAGTAAAATACAACACTATATTGGCTAGAGTTATTTATATACACAGAGGCCTAAAGGCTACATACACGTATACAGACACAACATTCAGTAGTACATTTTTTCGGGGGAGAATATAAACAGGAGCAATAAGATGATAATATGGTTTTAATATAAAATTATTTTATTACATAAAAAAGTCTGATATTTGGGAAACACTGTCCTTGACAGCTCGGACACGGTTCAATCCTCCAAGTGCTTGATCCAGAATGAATGTTGATAAGCAGGTGTCTGTTAAGATGTGGGCACAGCAGTCTTTGATTTCAGTTGTTTGGAAAACGTGAGTCCCATTTTGTCCAGACCGAACCTTAAGTAGCAGCCTTAAGTTCAAGATGGGCCAGCATGGCTCCTATCCTGGCTCTCTTTTCTCCCCTCCCCACCCGTTGTGGTGTCTTGTCGGGTTAATCTGGCTGGTGGATCGAGATCTGCTGCTTTTGATCTAAAAATGTTGTCTTCCTTTTCCAATGACTGTATTTCTGTCACAGCTAATTTGTGTTTCAGCAATAAAGCCGAGGGGGAAAAAAATAAATATAAAAGTGTAGTGTTGCCTTGGTTCAGTTTAATTCATATTTAGTTGACAAACTGTTAAAAGGTTTTTATTCAATGTATAGGCTAAATGTTTTTACAGTTGAATAATTTTAGGATGGCTTTAGGCCTACAACATTGACAAAAATTAGGTAGGCTATTCATTTCCTAAAATGTGCATAAACTAGAGTAAAGCGCCTGCTATCTGTGCAACCTCAGTGAGGACTTCCCCTGCCTGATGTCTGTATCTCATCGACAGATCCTTCGCCCTCTTCACTTCCTTTATGTTCTCCTCCAGGTTCTGAGTCAGTCTTCCTTGCTCCTGGTAAGTTGCTGCAACCTCCTTCACTTGCTCAGCCATTTGACCCTTGCTACGGAGCAGCCAGCCAATCAGCTCTTGTAGCGTGGTACCCTTTGAGATGGTGGCCTTGGCACTCTCAGAAGTGCCCTTCACTTCATCCTGAGCTAACTGCAGATGTGGAGGCAGTGGCTCCTCCTCACTTTCCCCCTGTGACCCCACAGGAACCACATTGAGGGAGAAGTCATAACCCTTTATTTTAAGGGAGACCCGGTACTGGGCCTCTGGGGAGAGAGATGGAGATTGAAACAGAGAAACAAAGGAAACTTGATGCAAGGAAAACCTGCTATCACATTGCCCACACTGGCAGGGAGCTGAGTATGTCACTTACCATGCTCATCTCTGATCGTCCCCAAACATTCGGCTAAAGCCAGGGAATCATCGTGGTTACAGCCGTATGTCTGTCGCAGGTTGCGGATGTGTCGGACCATGGCCTCGTAGCGCTCTTGCTGTTCGTTGAAGGCCTCTGCCATGTCAGAAAACCTCTGGTCCAACTCTGGCACACACACTCGTCTCATCACTAGCCTGCCTTTCCGCTTCACAGTATGTACATCTTGGGGTAGACAAAAAATAGTATCACACAACATGCACACACACTGACACACAAAAAAGAATGCATGTAGTTCAACTTCATTCATCATTGTGTCCATTAGACGTGTACACATTTAAGAAACAGACACATTTAGAGAGATGATGTACTACTGTGCGCTGGCCGGTTCTGCCTGGCTGATCCAGCTCTATTCAAGTCAAATGGTCCAGGGTGCAGGAGAGGCTGCCTCTGAAATAGCAGAGTTATTTTCTTTACATAGATATATATATATATATATATATATATATATATATATATATATATATATATATATATATATATATGCCACTTTTCAGAAGACATGAAGTACTAATAAGACGCATGTAATTACTTGGTCATAAACACAAATGTGTCATGTGGTCATTCTGCCTGGCGATCTTATTATTGACCACGCTTTGTATTTGTAAAAGACAATCAAACAATTATCTTAACAAAAGACTGTTACAGGAACTTATTTGTGAGACAACTGCATAGCATGATTCATACATTAACGAGTAGCCTATAGTCCTCTAAGTTTAATTAATAATAGGTTTATCCAGTAATCTCACTGAAGCAGAACCAAGCTTCTCGTCTGAACTCGAGTGAAGCCACTTTATAATCTCATTAACATTTACCTAAAAACTCAAGTCATACCTCGTTGCCGGAGTTTTCACCGGAGAAGCAGCAACAGCAGAGAAAACGTAGCATTTTCTGCAGCTCCGGTGCCTCTCGGTTTTTTTCAGGTCAGTTATTTTTGACAATGAATGTAGTCCGCATTCCACATTACGTCAACGTCATGCGACTGCTGAAAAACCTGTCTTCCTGGTTTATTGCTTTAGGGATTACTGTAAAGAGATATGAGCGTGACAGACGGACAGGTGCACCTACAGGTGAGCCACAGGTAGGTAAACAAAACGCTGCTGTTTTGATTGGAGAAATTCCTTGATATAATAAAATCTGAAATCTGCTCTATAAAGTGATACAAATTACTAAAGTGTTTTGGTCCGAATACCAAAACGTTTTCTCTAAAATCGGTCTAAATGGCATAGGTTAATAAAGGTGTTATGCACTGGAGGTTTATGTGTAATGTGTCAAGTTTGCCGGCCGGCAGAGGGTGAACGCGAGTGTGTCCAACCAGAGGAGGAGCCGTAGAAGAAGAGGGAAACCACAACCCTCTCAGCTAAAGACTTCAGGGTTTCAAAACACACTACCCTAACTTGTTTTAGTACCATTTTAACGCCTGACAGTAAGCTAATTTTTATGAGTTTCTCTGTGAGAGTTTTCAAAGAGAAGCTACCGTCAAACTGGCTAGTTTTTATTTCATAAAGCCACAACAAGCTGCCGGCTGCCGCTGCTACTAGCAAGCCAACTGTCAGTTGCTGAGCGACAACAAAGAGACTGCGGCTGCACACTGCTGTACACTGGCGGAGCTGCAGGTGTTGTGATTTAATTTAACGGAACAGATTACATTAATCGGGCTGACATGACCGGGGTGGCCTCTCCAGAGAAGGCGTCAAGCTCCAAGAAGAAGAGCGAGAGGAAGTGTGCCACTAAAGAGGAGTACAGACAGCTGTCCAGCATCATGGGAGTCATGAACAACCTGAGGAAACAGGTGTGCGTGCGTGCGTGAGTGAGTGAGTGAGAAAACGAATGACAGAATGAAAGAGTGTAACTTCGATGTAAAACAGGGTTTAGCAAGAGGCAGTTACTGTACGTGTGTGTGTGTGTGTGTGTGTGTGTGTGTGTCCCTCTGTCTAGATACTTTCTAACTGTGTGTTTCCTTCAGGGTACTCTCTGTGATGTGACCCTGGTAGTTCAGGGGAAACACTTTCCTGCCCACAGAGTAGTGTTGGCTGCTGCCAGCCACTTCTTCAGCCTCATGTTCACCAGTAAGTGTGGACACCAAAACACATAATCATGGACAGGGCAGACAGCTTGTTTTGTTGTTGTTGTTTTTTTGAGATTTTATTGCTCCCAATGTGTTGCACTTATGTGTGCCTTTCAGAACAAAGATAAATTTAGATACAGCAACATGACACTAAAAAACATAAATAATGGTGTGTTCATGTGATTAGTGAGCTATGGCAGAGGGGAAAAACTTCTTCTAAAACTTGCCCTTTTCTCTCTTGAGTGTCTTGTATCTGAGTTCAGATGGGAGTAGAGTGAAAAATGGGTTGAGCCCAGGTGGACCACTACAGTGAGAACATTGCCTCTGCTGCGATAGTGCTAGTGTGATTTGTAATGGAACTTTATATTTTGGGAGGTCACAGATGCAGAGATGCCAATAAATGACTACCTTTTATTGAAAAGTATCAAAATCTGTACTGCTTTTTAGTACTGAAAGTTGAATAAGAAGCAAAAGGAAACAAGTCAACTGTAATGTAGGACTACAGGTAAAATCTCAGTCCTGTCTTTAAATATTGTGATCATTAATAATTATTATAAGCCAGTATACCATGATTATTTAGTTCGTGAACCAAATTCATGATATATAGGATTACACATGATTGATTGTGCAATGCTCCCTAAACTGTTGCCAGGCACAGCAAGAAAAATGTTTAATTCTGCCATGTGTTGTTTGTATGTTTAGTATTTTCTGTAAAGTCTACCTCTGTTTTTCCTCACCTCCAGCCAGAATGATGGAGTCGATGTCCCATGAGGTGGAGCTCAGGAGTGCTGAGCCTGAGATCATTGAGCTGTTGATTGAATTTATCTACACAGCTCGGTAAGAATCTTGGATAAAAGTAGAGCATAGATCGGGACACAAAAGAGTGGTCATTTATAGGTACAGTGCATCTTAAAGTTTACATATAACACTGTGACCTTCTGGTAATCATGATTGCTTAGAAAAGTTCCTAAACTTTCGATTTAACCATTCTCTTCTAAGTGTTACTTTCACCTAATTTCATCAGAAACACCTCCTTAGTGGTAAAAGTGTGTGTGTATATGTGTGTGCCAGGATCTCGGTGAACAGCAGTAATGTCCAGTCTTTGCTGGATGCAGCCAACCAGTACCAGATTGAGCCTGTGAAGAAGATGTGTGTGGAGTTCCTCAAAGGACAAATTGATGCAACGAACTGCCTCGGTAAGAACAGAAATACAATCAAGTCTATCTCATTTGCTTTTACCCTACAATTTGGTGAGCCCTTTGATCCTATATTTATTGAATCATCACCAACAATTATGAAACAGCCAGAGGGGCTAAACAATTCCAGCTCAGTGAGTTGAACTGGTTCTACCAAAATAAAGAGTTTTTTTGTTTATTTAAGTATTAAAGTCATTTTCCCACCTACAATGTGTTTAGGTCAGGCCTGCCAATCAGTCATTAGATTAAGTGACCCATGTCCTGTCCCCCCTGCAGGTATTTCTGCCCTGTCAGACTGTATGGACTGTCCTGAGCTGAAGGCAGCAGCAGAGGACTTCTTCCAGCTCCACTTCACCGAAGTCTACAAACTGGACGAGTTTCTGCAACTGGACGTTACGGAGCTCACACATCTACTGCACCAGGACAAACTCACTGTCCGTGCAGAGGCCCAGGTACACACGCACACGTTCTTTGAATTTACGCTTCATTTCCTTTCTGCTATAATTTTTAAGAATTGGCTCAAGAAACTGTTGGTAATTTGGAGACACTTTGATGCCTAAATTTGGGGACGTAGCAAAACACCATAGAGACCCTAACAATTTATTAAACATTATGATAAATACTTCTTTTTACATCTTGGATTACCAAATGAATGGGGTTTCATCACATCAGGACAAAGCTTGATTGATGGCTTTGGCTAAAAACAATACCCCCTATAACCTGAATGTTTCCACCTGTTGCCTTTGTGCTTAGATTTATGATGCAGCAGTGCGCTGGCTGAAGTACGATGTGTGTAACAGAAAGCAATATATGGTGGAGGTGTTGGGGTGCGTTCGCTTTCCTCTGGTCTCCAAAACCTTCCTCTCCAAGACTGTGCAGGCTGAGCCCCTCATCCAGGACAACCCACAGTGCCTCAAGATGGTCATCAGTAAGTAGAAGAAGGTAGAGAGGAACACACACAATACTGAGTATATTGTATTCATGTGAAGGAACATTGTTATATTAGTAAAATTTTAAATATTAATAAATAAAAAATGTCCTGTAGATGTGTAACATATGAGCCACCACCACAAAAACTCTTACTTATATATTGTAGATAATTCAGATTCATAAGAGCAAGTTGACATTAAAACTGAATTAGGCTAAGGTCTGCTGGGTTGACATGAGCTCACACATTCACACACACACAAAACAAAAATAAAAACAGCCTGTGCTTTTGTCCCAGGTGGGATGCGCTACCACCTGCTGTCTCTGGAGGATCGTGAGGATCTGGGAGAGAGCAGCCGACCGCGACGCAAGAAGCACGACTACCGCATTGCTCTATTTGGAGGCTCCCAGCCTCAATCCTGCCGCTACTTCAACCCCAAGGTACTAGGCTCCACATGCAAACAGATTTTACCCACAGGGGCAGTAAGCCAGTAAATAGATACTGTACATACTTGTGTTCAATTTTTAAGTGTGAAACTTGTTTATTTGAGGCTCTACAGTATTTTGAACTGCACAGTTCATATTAATTGGATCAGATATTGCACAAACAATGAAATGTTTAAGTGTCAGTCTGGCTTTCCATGCAGGACTCCACCTGGACAGACATCCGCTGCCCCTTCGAGAAGCGCCGAGACGCCACAGCTGTCTTCTGGGACAATGTAGTCTACATCCTGGGTGGCTCCCAGTTATTCCCCATCAAGCGCATGGACTGCTACAACGTCCTGAAGGACAGCTGGTACTCCAAGCTGGGCCCGCCGACGCCTCGCGACAGCCTGGCTGCCTGCGCCGCCCAGGGCAAGATCTACACATCCGGCGGGTCGGAAGTAGGTGAGCACAGCAAGCTGGAAGGGGTGAACTTGCCACCTGGGATTGGAAGAGTTTGTGTATCTACTGACTGGGATGGTTAAATTAAGTTTGGTGTGGTTATTACTTCCATTATGATTTACATGTCAGGAAAGTTATACATCCCACCTCTGACAACATGTAATCACAGTGTTGCGTATTCCACATGTATGCCTGCAGGCAGCTCTGCCCTCGACCTTTTTGAATGCTACGACACAAGAACAGAGTCGTGGCAGGTGAAAACGAGCATGCTGATGGCCCGCTGCAGCCACGGCTCAGTGGAGGCCAACGGGCTCATCTACGTCTGCGGAGGGACGGTGGGCAACAATGTGTCTGGCAGGGTTCTCAACAACTGTGAGGTTTACGACCCCAGCACACAACAGTGAGTTACATAAACATACAGCTCAGAAATGTAATATGAAGGGAAAGACAGTTTCCTTATTGATATGTACTGGCTGACACAGAAGGAACTGCAAAGATGATGTAAAGAAATGTCCTTGTTTACCACTCTGTATATTCATATTGATGTAATAAAGTCACCAGTAAGCTTTTATCAGATTAAGAGGTCAGAGAAATTTCTCTACAAAGGAGCAGGGAGATTTTCATCAACACAGAGGTCACAACTGGAGTTTCAATATCTTTTACCTGACAGTAATCATATGCACATACACAAAAGTGGAACATCACATAATGTTGGTGTCGGTGTTCTCGGTTACACTGGCCATCTTCCTGTCCTCAGATGGAGGGAGCTGTGTGGGATGAGAGAGTCCAGGAAGAACCATGGGCTGGTGGTGGTCAACAACCGGATCTATGCTGTTGGAGGGCAGGGGGCACTGGGTACAAAAAAAATTGATCTTACTATAACCCCTACAGTGATGAAGAATGAGAATGTAATGTAAGAATGAAATAATACAATTGAACATCGTAGCTGTAGCATGTAATAGTAGCAAGAGTGTCCCATATTGCCACAGTATGATACTGTGTTTGTGTTGTTTTTCTTTTTCTAGGTGGACTGGACTCGGTGGAGTACTACGACATTGCCGGTAACGAGTGGCGTGCTGCTTCAGCAATGCCGTGGCGGGGTGTAACGGTGAAGTGTGCAGCGGTCGGCGATGTCATCTATGTGCTGGCGGGGTTCCAAGGTGTGGGGCGGCTCGGACACGTCCTGGAGTACCACACTGATACTGACAGGTTGGTATTGACTAAATATTGCCAAAATAAAACAAATATAGCTGATGTGTTTGTCACTGATATGTAGTCACTGGTGTGAAAAACTGAACCACTGCTTTGACGTTTCGTTAACTTTGTTTGGTCAATACAAATTATTTTGCTCCACTACATCATTAATTGTTGCGGGTGGTTTATTTTGCCAGGTAATCATTACTATTAAATATAATTAGTGCTTGAACCACCAGGATCCTTACTAGTACATTTATTGCTAAAGACAATTGTATGCACCATTTAAGTTGTAGTTCTCTACAGATTCATTAAATAGGACTTCTTGATACAATCCCCGAAGATTCAGCAATGTAGCAGCATGGAGTCTGTCTTGAATATGACCACCAGGTAGAGCCACCATTGCGACACATCATCAGTTGTGAACCCCAACGTCATTGGGTGTTTCGGCCTTTTATCACAAGACACCCTCTGTTGAGGCAGGCCCACCACAGGATATCAGCCCTGGGTGTGTGTCTCATAGATGGCATGTGGTCATTTAGTAGGTACAGTCATTTCAATAAGATTTTGACCAGAGGACCAGAACTGGTCTCAAGTTGGTAGTTACGATCTCGGATGGAACTATGAGTCTCTGACCCAAGTCAGCACGTATTTCCCAGTCCTTGGCTCCATACAGTGGGCCAGGTGTATCTGCCTAGCGTCAGACTGGTCTTACACCCTACCAAGATGTGCTTTAGGTTTGCCGGAGCAGAACACAAAGGGCAGGCTGGGTCCTCTCCCAACCAAAGATTTAGGTTGGTGGGCAGCTGATGTAGCCTTTTGCCACATAGGTTTCTTTACTCCCAGGCCAACCCCCCCTCTACCTTGCTGGACTTGGCCCACAATGTCCCGGTGCTGGAGGGCAGATATTTCCTCAGCTACTGCAGTAGCTGGAGTCCATTTTGGCATGAGTCAGACTGACCTCGTAAATGGTAGTAGGCCACATAAGTCGGGACAGCAGGCCAAACTGGAATCACCATGGGTTTCTCCATGATCGTTGGTATTAACTCACCATTTACTTTAGTCATGTCATCCATATATGCTCTAATTGGAGGAAGCCGCAGTCCACTGTTCAGTTGTTCCCCTCCGACTACCCATTTCGAACGTCAAATGATGAGCTCCATTGCCATGGTGAAGGCCAATGGAGAAATGGTACAGCCTGCCATTATGCCTTACTTCAGGTGCAGCCAGCCGGTGGTGTTATCACCTGTAGTTACGCAGAACTGGAGGTCCTGAAAATTTGCCTTGACCAACTTTGTTAAACACCCTGGGACTTGGAAGAAATTGAATGCTGCCCACAGGGTCTCATGTGGCACTGATCCAAAAGCGTTAGCTAGATCCAGGAATACCACATGGAGGTTTTCCTTCTGCTTCATAGTAGTCTGCATTTGATGCCAGATGATGCTGGCATGTTCCAGATGTCCTGAGAAGCCATGTATTCCTGCTTTCTGCACGGTCGTGTCGATTTATTCATTCCACATCAGAAATGTTGACAGTCTTTGGGCCATGATGCCAAAAAAAGATCTTTCCTTCAACGTTAAGAAAACTGATCTGGCGGAACTGACTAATGGTTGAAGAGTCCTTTTCTCTGGGGATTACTATTCCTCCTGCCCACCGCCATGCTTTAGGTACAATTCCCTTTTCCCAAGCCACCCGTAGCAACCTCCAGATGTGGAACATCTTGGATTGTTCTTGTACACTTTATATAGCATCCCATTGGGTGCTGGGGCTGATGCTGTTCTTGCCTGCTTTCCAATGTTTAACACCTCATTCCAGGTAGGGGGCCTTATATCTATCTGATGCTTTAGTGGGTGGATTGGTGGCATGTCATCAGGAACTGTGACTGGCTTCTGCCTTCGGGCATCGGAATAGGTGTTCCTCAGGTATTCTTCCAGTTCCTTTATTGCCACCCTAAGGAACCCACCCCTCTCCTTATCGAAAAGGCTTTTGACAAGCCTGTATGGATCCGGTGCTGCTGCTGTGTTATATTCTGTTCTGGTCTTCTGAGTCATAGTCATTTCCATTCCTGAGTCCAATACCATGTGGTCTGTCCGTGAGTCTTCTTGCACCCCTGCTCTTGCTGACTCTGGGGGTATACTTCTTGATGTTTTCATAGCATTTGTTGGGTGGGCCCAAATCACTAACTTGTGATGGATCGTGCTGGTATGAGTAGCTAGCCCATGCCAGCCCCGGTGGGGTCTTTTTCTCCTGTAAGCAGTCTCTTCAGGCTGTCACTAAGTCTTTCCCTTGTTGTCAGGTGCCCTTTCATAGCAGTCACTGGTTTCCCAGGTATACAGAAAAATAACAAATTAATGTTGAATTCTGTCAGTAATAAGCACAATGGGAATCCATTAAAAAATTGCTTGTTAAAACTCTGTTCCTGTTCCATGCCGTCTCTAAATCAATTTTCTTCTGTGCGTCCAGATGGGTGACTTGCAACAAGGTGCGAGCGTTTCCTGTCACCAGCTGCTTGATCTGCGTGGTTGACACGTGCGGAGTCAATGAAGACGAAGACATGGACCTCATAGACTCCCACTCACACGCTGCAGCCACTGCCTCTTCATCTGCCTCCACCTCATCATCCTCGTAGGACAAGAGGAAGATTCGGTGCATAGTGAATTGTGACGTTTGATGAGAGAGGTGTGCGTCCTGTGGACTGTGGAGCTGATTTACATGAGTCAAGGCCCGGACAGCTCATACTCATGAATATTCATGTCTGTATTTAGGCAGCAAACTGATTATGTTCTTTAATTATGTGCAGTAGCCAAATTCCTCTTTAACTTTTAGCTGTGCCAGAATTGTAGGTCCTAATGTTCAAGTGCCAGTGGGACGCTGTCCACAAATGATCTGGCAAGGACACTTTTAATGAGAGAGTGTTGTTAGGTTGGATATAAGAAATCCAAACCCCTCCTCCTAAAAAAGTCTAGTCTAATTATTTTATTTAAATTTCTTTGTCCTTATCCTTCTTTCTTTTAAACTTTGTAATGTTGTTTTTGTAGCTTGTGAATTACTTGCTGGTACAGACTGTAGATATACTGCATTTATGCAGTTGGAAGACTTGATTGTGGTGTGTGTGTGTGTGTGTGTGTGTATATATATATATATATATATATATATATATATATATATATATATATATATATATATATATATATATATATATATATATATATATATATATATATATATATATATATATATATATATATATATATATATATATATATATATATATATATAGTGTAAGAGTGCTTTGGTAATGCACTGTAACACAAAGCTGACTTTATAAAGGATGAGTAAACATTTTATTCTCAGATTACAATAAAAACTAGCTGAATGTGATAATAAAAAAAAACATGTCTGTTTGATTCATGAATTTTTTTAATATAGAAAGGCAAGTAAAATCGAGCACCAAATACATAAGCAGTAAGGCAAATATAAAAATTACATAATCATACGTTTGTCATCAAGGTGCCATTAGCTGCCATACATCTCGCTGGTCAACAGAGATGATAAAATAAGACATCTCTACATTCACTGTTTAAATCTTGTGTTGATGTAACAGAATAAAACTGTCAGGCTGAAAACAGTTGCATTAATTACAGTGATCTTAATTTAATAAAAGCTTTCATATATGCTAAAATATGGCAAGCGTGTGCTTTGGGAAAACTGATCTCTGATGTCTTGACATCACTTGACTTGAGACGGCCAGTTAATAATAGTGAGGAAGGTTAAATAGTGTAATACAATTATAAAGGCAGAAGAAGTGGTAAACGTTAAAAGATGTAGTTCTTTACTTCACAATGACTGCAGCATCCCCTGAGGGTGTTTACTAAAACACTGGAATGTCCCCTCTCATTTGGCCCTAAGCAAGTTCTGTATATCGATCTATTCATTTTGCCTCCTCACCAATCATCAAACTCTTCATTGACCATCAGGAAAGCAAACCTGTTGTTTATCTCCCCAGTCCCTCTCCCCCCTCCCCTTGCTCCTCTCCCACCTCCCCCTCTTCCTCTCCTTCCCCGGCCTCCACCTCTCTTCCTCCTCCCTGCTGCTGAAGAGGAGTGATGGGTTTTGGAGCTGCAGTTCCACACGGCTTCCAGCAGCGAGACGTAGAGTTGTCCGGACAAAGAACCCCCGGCCAGGAGGGATTCAGCAGCTCGACCCCCTTTCAGATACTTGATGAGGCCATGCACCAAGGTGCCGCTGTACAACCTGAGACACGCACAGAGAGGGAGGAAGCCAAATTACAAAAATTAAAGAAATTCCACTTATCCACAATGATATCTGCATATACTTTTCAACTTTGGAAACAATTCACTCTCAAACTAAATTCCATCAACGTCTATTGTATTGGACTGGCAGCAGAAATTCTCAAAAGACAGTTGTCTCAAAAGCTCTGCAAATAGAACTAAAACTATCTGCATGATCAGATCCCACTAGGTGAGAAAAGTTGTTACCAAGTGATCGGGAACATGGGTCCCGATCATATAAAGCAAAAAGGCCAAACATTTGTCGGTTCCAGACTCTCTACTCTTTCATGTCCCTGTGCCTTACCACGATAGCTGGGGTTCAGGTAGAGGCAGCAGCAATAGTTGATTGAGACACAGGGTGCTCCAGAGGCAGGCCTGCCATTGGCTGAAACTGTGAGCCACTCCGACATCCAAGCCCCGTCTCTCTCCTGGCCTCACACGTTGTCTATCCAACCCTGCCAACACATGGCGCTCTGCGGCCCAGTTTAGCTGCGGGACTGGGATGATATGCAGCAGTCACAGGTTACTGAGATGCCAAGTATACCTTGTGGAACAAAACAAAAGGTACAACACAACTGTTGTATGTTAGTAGTGGGTACCTCCAGGCTGGTTGTTCCAGGACATCTCTCCATAAACCATGCCCAGCACCAAAGCTTGGAGCTGGGGCCGTGAGGGTGTTGGTATGGCCTCTCGCAGCCAGAAACCTGTCACTGCTACTGCCAGCCTCAGGTGGAGAGGAACAGAAGTCAGGGTGGACTCCTTCATCCCCAAGACTTCGAACAGGACACCAAGACGAACTGCCACAGGAGCCTCGGTAAAATTAAAAGACAACTTGGGGCAAACCTAACCACATGAACTATTTCTTTTAGAAACCATACATTCCTAAATGATATGAACCAAAATTGATGCTATTAGAGACATACTGCATACTTTGTTGTCATGTTTACCTGGCTGAGTGTATCCAGACGTAGGGGGGTTCTGGGGGGATGTGCCTCTACCTGGTTTTTCTTCAAGTTCACATCCAGACGGTCATACTCCTCTACACACACGAGGGCACCTGAGCCCTGAGCCTGCACTGTACCTGCGACGGCTGCGTGTTCAATGTTAAATCCTACATTTACACCCCTACCTCCACCAACCTGAGCACCTCTGTACCCCCTTCCCCCTCGCCCTCTCCCACCTCTCGTACCCTGGCTGATGTTTTCTTGTACCCTCACATCCCGTGCTTGGACATCTTGGCCTCTCTGCAGTAATATTCCATATACAGCCTGGCGTATGAATCTGGCGATGTAGTGGCTGCTGGCTAGCTTGCTGTTCTCCACCTGTGGGAGGAGCAGAACTCTGCGCATCACCATAGCATCTACCACCAAGGGAGCTAACTGTCCCTGCGCTGCAGCCTGCGACAGGCACTCTGGCAGCTGTGCGAGCCCAGAGGTCCACCCTCCAGGAGCTACCTTATCTCCAGAGAACCAGCGAGCCAGAGAGCTTTGAGGGGTGATGTGGTACTCCTGCATACCTGCCCACAGCTGTGAACTGAGCCCACCTATCTGTCCTTTCTTGCCCCTACCGCCTCCACCTCTGCGTTCCTCCCCCATTAGCCTGCTCACCTCCTCCAGGGCCTCCGCTGGACTTGAAAAAGAGGACAGCCAGAGGAGGAGACCCTCAATCCGGGACATGGGTGCTTTCCCTTTACCCCTGCCACCACCTCTCCCTAATGCACTCACATCTAACAGACCCAGAAGTGTGTCAGCATCTTTTGGAGCGCCATAATCATTACCGGTCAGGACGGCACATAAGGGTAGCAACTCCTGGTTCATGCCCCCAAACCAGCGACACAGCCCGTTAGTGGTGTAACACCGAGCCGAGATATAGCGGTGAGAGGCTTTACCGTTAAGGTTGGTCCACTGGAAAAAACTGAGTGGCAGGTAACCACCTAAGATAAGAAAACAAAGCACAAAAACAGTATGTAAAAGACGGCAAAATCAAGCGAGACACTATCACTACCATTCATTACAAAGGTCTTTTTAGATCCTTGCTACTACCCACACCTGGCAGGTCAAAGATATAAAAGTCACTGTCATTGGTCAGAACTGGGCAGTTCCACTGATGAGCTAAACATGCTATTTCCCAATCAGCCTCAGCTGGACACTGGACCAGCGGGACTCCTCTCTGGCTGAGGACCTGAATGAAAACGTCCCTTGTGAGGATGGGGAGAACAGAGCCATTGCAGCCGCGAGACAGACTGTCCGCCTCCCTTATCTTGGACTGCAGACGCTGCCGCAGGGTGGGAAACTTCTTGTCACTGGGATCAATCCCTTTTAACCACACACAAAAGAAAGACAGAAATTAAATGTTTGTGCAGGCTTAAATGAACTTGTTGATCCAAACAAAAAACTTTTTTGTTTAATCTAATTCATTCATCAAAGAACTGTCTACAATGACCAAAATATCTGACTACATTATGTAATAGTTAGAAATCTATGTTATAACATTGAAAAACAAAATTATAAAACAGAGAGAAGAGTCTTGCTTTATAAATAAAAAATTTGGAAGATTTCCTTCTTTGAATTGTATTTTGTATATAAAAGTAAATACTTGGATTAACATCATGAAATTAAGTTTCCTAAAATAAAGGAGCTGAGAGGGCATTCAAATTCTAAAGCATCCTTACCTCCATCCAGTACCACATATGGCTGGATGTTACAGGCTGCCAACGCAGAGAGGAACTGGTTGAGCAGGCAAGTGAAAGCATCATAGTCCCCTCCATGCTGCTGGTCCAAACCGTGGGTAAAATAGAGACGGAAATACAGACTGCAGCCATCAATAACCAGGCGACTGTCCCTGAACTTCACATCTTGTAGAAAGTTTCTGTTCCCCTCCACATAGGTGGTCAGACCCTGGACACCCATAGGATCTCAGAGCCTAAAAAAACATGGAGTGAGAAGATGAATGAGTTACGAGTCACTCACAGAGGTGCTGGTGGAGTTTCAGAGCTTCAGAGTAGTTTATACTGCCTGGTTGGTCGTCTGAGGGTGTGTGGAGTCCAATTATAGAATGCGACGGAAAAGAATCGTAACAAACTCTCAGCCATTGCTGAGTAGACAGTCAGCTGGACTTTGTTTTCCCTTACTGACAGTGTGACTCTGTTAAAAGGTATGTCACAACGGAAATTACTGAAACAAAAAATTCATCTAAACCAAAGGCAAGTGATTGACCGTATTTTAAGTGCATTTTAAAACAATTATTCGAAAGGTAGTTCAGGATTAGAGCATGCAGATATAAATAGTCTGCTACCAACCTATGTCACTTTACTTTATTTCTGTTTTCAGGTCTTGCGCAGTTATTTCCTTGTAATGCTATACTTCAATGTAAAAGTCCTGGTTTGTAAGAAAGGTGTATATTCAATTGTGCAAATAAATAACATTGTTTGGTATTTTAAACATATATTACTGATTTTAAAAAGCACACAACTAAATTAAAAAAAACACATGAAAATGACAGACAGTTAAACATTAAAAAATAGAAAACTCTTATGCTGAAATACTATAATCGCGTTTCTTCTCGCGAGAGAGCAAGAACGCAAACGCTAGCGAGCGCGCTAGCCAGATTTGTTCTCCCGTTTGAGATTAATTTCTTGTTTTATTATGGCTACAATGTCCGGAGGAACAAACCTCGGGATTCTCGGGGCAAGCCAAGCAAACTCCGGAACATCCGCACAACGTAAAAAAGACAGCAGTCCGTCCGCTAGGTTCTGGGAGAGTCCGGATACTTTAGCCCAGCTGGAGGTGGTGCGACAGTGGATCGGAAAGCACTACAAAAAGGTAGTTAGCTGGCTAGGAAGCTAGCTAAGAAGCTAGCCGCCCCCTGCTAACGTTAGCAATCCTGCGGCTCAGACTGTAAACAAACGTCTCATGTTCGATACCGTTACCTTTACATTGGCAAGCAAGATTTGTGTGAAGTTGAGGAGTGCCGTATCTATCTTAATTAAAGATTTAAAAAAGACGAAGTGCAAATGTAGCCAGATCCTAGAGGTTAAAATCCGACCAAATACAATAACGTTATAGTTAAGTTGGTGAGACTGTCGGTAAAATGCATTAGGTTGCATGAAAGTATGATAAAGAATTATGTTCCTCAAAAAATGTGTCTGTGTCTGTCAGTTTGTGCTGGTGGATGCTCCATCATGTCAGGCTCTGGCTGCAGTGACGCTGCAGCTTCTCAAGTTTCAGGAGGAAACCTTTGGCAGACAAGCTGCCAGTCCTGCGCTCACCAAACTGCCTGTGAGTCTTTCTTTTATAAATGTCGTGTATTAATATCTCATCATTTGATTGGTAAAAGTCTATAGAATCTCAAAATGTTCTGATTTATGTGTATTTAGTCTTCTTGTGTTTTGTTTGACAGTGTTATAAATACAATACTACATCACCCAGTTGTGACGTAATTTGAATAATATTCAAATATAATAAATCTCAAGGCTTCTTGTTGTGGTCCTCGTTTGAAAGGGAAAACATTTTTAGGTGAAAATCTGGCAACATGGGTTAAAACATGCAAAACAAACTAAGTGTTGAATTTACAATTTTTCTGCAGGCACAGTGCTTCCTGGATCTGCGACCAGGGGGTGGACTCTGCCACATTCTTGGCACTGCCTACAAGTTCAAAGCTGAGCAAGGCTGGTGAGTTTCAGGCATCTGATGACTTTGGGCCCCATCTTGCACCCGGTGCAAAGCAGCATAAAGTGTCATTTGTGCCTATGGGAGTGTTGGTCTTAAAATGATTTGCATTGCGCATTGCATTGCTATCTTAAAGTCATTTAAACTTAAAGTGATTGCACCATTGACCCCAAAAAAACAGGTCTAAAGTCAACGGTGCAGTATTTCACTGTTTTTTTGTTATATTAGGGGTGCGTTACTCCAATGGTAAGAGAGACGCTGTGCACATCTACGCACCAGGCACAGCAGCGTAAATTCATTTATTTAAAAAATCTCTTGGCATGCCGACAGGATCGGTCAGGATCTAATGCTATTTCATGTTCTGTGTTCTACACATTCAAAAGGTCTCACACACACAGTCCAGGTTCATACAGTGAAACAGTTTGGCGTAAAGCAGCTGTCCTCCTGAAAATCCTGAGCTCCATCAGAGAGTTTAAATTATTTCAGAAGCTAAAAATTGAATTATGTTTTCATTGGTGAATTTCCTCTGTCTCGTCTTGTCACGCTTATACAGGTTTTTTTGTTTTGCTGATTAAATGCCATTCAATCGGTCAATTAATGGTTTTTACAGTATAATGCGCCATTCATTTGTTATTATAATTGCAAAGCGCCAAGGTGCAAGTGCAACTGGCTTTTAAAAGGAATGGGAGATGACACTCTGAATGGTGTTGTGCGTGTTATGTCCAAAACACACCCACGACTAATTCACAGACTAAGTACCCTTTTGAACCATGCGCCTGGCGCACTGATCATTGTTTCCCTCTTTTTAAAGGCGGCGGTTTGACTTGCAGAATCCATCAAGAACTGAAAGGAATGTCGAGATGTTTGGTACCATTGAAAGAGCGCTGATCCAGGTGACAGAGACACACACATTAATACACACACACACATCAGCCCACCAAGAACACACAACTGATGAACTTGTGTTTTGTGTGTCTACAGAACAGCTGTATGTCACAGCCTGTAGTGTATCTGGACGCTACGCTGGATCAGGAGCTGGCTAGCAGACTTACCGATGTTATCACCAAACACCAGGTAAAGTGCTGCAGAATAGAGTTAGAGATGTGCAGACAGAGGGTTAGATGGACTGATGAAAGATAATGAAAGAATACGTTGAAGTATATTGAGACAGATGTGGCTGATTTAGAAAGTAGCAAAAATGAAACCCAGTGCAGCTCTGAAAATGCAGTTACATTTTAGTGCCACCTGTTCATGGTTTGTCGTACCATAGGGTACACTCACTGACGATCGAACGCTCGCCAGTCACCACATCTACCCGTCACCTGCTTCTACAGAGGAAGGTCAGTTAAAGTTTGTGCATTGTGTGTTTGTTATCTTTTTAAATGTCTGGTACTTATTTAACTTGACACCATTTTTTCATACATGTCTTTTTTCTTCTTCAGATGAATGGATGCGTCCTGTCATGCGGAAAGACAAACATGTCTTGGTACACTGGGGCTTGCACCCTGACAGGTAATGCACAAGCACATGCATGCACACATAGATGTTCATACCAAAACATAATGTGTACCTATTGTGTCGTTTCTCACTTTTCAACAGTTATGACAGTTGGCTGTCCTCGAGTGATGTTGAAGGAGAGGTTGAAGAGCCACCACATTCAGAAAAGCCGTGGCGGGTTAGTACAGCAGCATGCATTCAAAGAACAACCACCTATGTATGCTATAACAGTCAACACTTTTTTTTCCAGCTACATTTACTATATTAAGCTACGCATCAATATTTTACACTTCAAAATGTTAGAGTACGCCGATTTAAACATAGTGTCAAATTAACGTTTTTGCTCACCTGCCAAGGTAGCCTGGTAGGAGTCAATTTACTGCAGAGCAGTGCAGTCTCTCACAGTGAGAGAGCTTATTTATCTATCTTATTTTACTTTTTACTTTTTTTAATAGCGCAATTCTTCTGTTTATGTACATGTTTTTATTTCACACTTGCTTTGGCAAGAACGTGAGTTTCCCATGCCAATAAAGCCCCATTAAACTGAATTGAACTGAATTGTATGGTAGTCAGCAGTTTCAGAACAGCAACAGACCATACTCTATATACATTATGGAGGCATTTATATGATATTTCAAACATTCAACAGGTAACTTGACAGGTAAAGCCTTTTGATTGAAGTCAATTTAACTTGCAATTGGTCATATAATGTGGTATGTGGGTGTGTCTGTCCATTTTGGACACTTGATGAAATGAACCACATTAATACTTACTTTGTGTGGGGGTGTGTGCTCCAGGTCCATGCTGGCTGGGTTCTGGACACGGATGTTTTCAACGAGTGGATGAACGAGGAAGATTACTGTGTGGATGAGAGGAATGTACCAATCATTCTCCGCCAGCGTATTCACCTCAGAGACGAACAGGTTTGTTCCAAGCTGTGGGCGACCTTGAGGGCTTGTGAGGGGAAAGGTGTTCTCAATTATAATTACATAGATCTTACCGTTTCCTAGTGGAACATGGAGGCAACCAGGAACCTTTAATTTTTAAAATTTGAAGAGTCTTTATCTGTGATGTTTCAGTTTATGATGCGGAAACTCTACCCTCTTGTTGCAGGACTCCAAATCGACCCCTGCCAAAAAGAGACGACGCTCCCCCTCTCCTCCCTCATCTGAAGGCAGGAAGAAAGGAAAGAAGGGGTAAGAAACAAAAGTTTTAACCTAACAGGAGGGTATACTTTGGCCCTTCAGTGTGCAGTCTCAGCATGGATTCTTGTGTGTGCACAGGAGAAGGCGTGGACAACAGGAGGAAGAGCCAGAAGAGGACTTGACCAAAGACATGGAGGACCCTACCCCTGTTCCTAACATGGAGGAGGTCATACTACCTAAGATTGGTAAAAACACAAAAAAACAGTGACTAGGAAATTGGCACATAAAAGTATATTACCCGTAAACCGTTCTTAATTTCATCTTTTTGCTCTTGTAGTCAACCTGAAGAAAGACAGTGAGAATACTCCTGTCAAAGGAGGGACCATGGCAGATCTGGGTAGGTTTACATGTGCTATATCTAATGTTTAAGAAGAAACGGAGCATGTGTAAATGTTCATTAGAAATTATGAAATACGATTGGTCTTGTGTGTGAATGAACCTGGAGTTTTCTCCGTTCTTTCATTTTTACTTGTTCAGATGAACAGGAGGATGACTTCCCTGGAAGGGTAAATATGATAATTACAGGAGGGTTGGGTAGTCTATATCAATTAGTGTCTTTAGTTTCAGTGTTATTAAATTTACTGTATTTACGTGTGTGTCTAGGAAGATGAGGAGGGGAGAGGGGAGATATCTCGCCTGTCAGAAGGAGAGGATAACATCACAGAACAAACCCATCATATCATAATACCAAGCTACACATCATGGTTCAATTACAACAGGTAAATAAAAAAAACACACACACACATAAACACAAACATACCCAACTTTATAGCCTAACCCCAAAAAAAAACCTTTCAATCCATGCATCCCAGCATTCACTCGATAGAGAAACGTTCATTGCCTGAGTTCTTCAATGGAAAGAATAAGTCCAAATCTCCAGAAATGTGAGTACTGCAGCCATTCAGACTTTACTATTCAATTCT